TTCCGTGAGGGAAACTACAAGACTGACGAACTCACGAGTCAAGGATTGATCTTGACTGCTACAGATATAAGGGATAAGGAAATGCTAAATTCAGAGAAGTTGCCAATGATAGATGGCGAATGAAACCGACCTTTCACATTACCAAAACTCTCTAGCCAGCCACAGACGCCCTACGCATCAAATCTCTACTTAATATGAGGCAGGATATTCGCATAGTGATTGGAGTCTTCACCGAACATTGTCTGATTAGATTAAACGGAGCTAGACTGGGCGCATGCATGCGGAAGCTGCATGGATGAAGACGAAGAGGAAACCATCCCACATCTTCTCTGCCATTTCCCGGATCTGTGAAAACGCGTTGCAAAAGCTCTTGGGAGCCATTTCTTCAACGATCTCGATGGCCTCAAAGCGGTGAACGTTAGAAGCTTATTCACTTTTTTGCTAAGCACCAAGTGGTTTATAGGGGAACAGGGATAATTAAAAAATTCCATGCGGTGTCATAGAGGATCCTGAGTCTAAGTGAGTCTTACTTTGGACTGGCGCCGAAGTTAACCTAACCTTCCTGGAATATGTCTTTTAAGTACTCGATAATCTGTGAAAACATGGACTTTATGAATGGTAGATCGGAAAACCTGGAACATAAGTCCAACCAACATCTTCATGGATAGGATGAAGTTGAACGGCAGAGTTGGTGGAGGTGTATTCCAGGGTGACATAGAAGTCACTGTCGCAACCTGTTGTTTACTTCGAGAGAGATGGGTTGGTTTGTAGTCGGTTTAGCGAGCCATAGGCGAAAATACCGTCATACAAAGTAAAACGTCATATGGTACGATTAAAATTGGTCGTAGAGTGCTTGGCCTCTATCCCGATCTCCTCCAATTACTTCAAAATTGGATTGATTTGGATACCAGGACATGTTGACTTTGCCGGAAATTTCATAAGCACATGACTGATGAACTGGCTAGATTAGGTAGTCATCAAGCTCAACTCGCCTGAGAGGGAGGGCATAGAGGTTACTGTCGCAATTTGTGATTTGCTCCGGGGCAGATGGGCTTATAGTCGACTTAGCGAACGCTGGGCGAAAAGTTCAACATGCAAAGAGGAAAAGACCTTCTGGCCATTGGAAGTGAAAAGAACATCGTGCAGCTGACTAACCTTCCATTAGGAACCTATACATTATTCTTCATATGCCGACGTCTAAGATTTCTTGCTGAGTATATTTTAAGTGATTTGGACTGAATTCCATTTATGTACATTACCATTTATAGAGCATAGGATAACATATAGTACTATTGAAAAGTACCAGAACTCGAGAGCATTGATTGGTAGAGCACATAAATAGCAACTCTTATGTAAACTTATAATGGTGGTGGTATTTGGTGGAATAGTTTTTACCTACACGCTATCCGACAAACACACTTTTATGAATGAGTATGAACGCCAGTAGGGTTAATGGCATAAGTACATAAGTGTGAAAAATTCAAGCAAATACTATTAGTATTGGAAAAAGTAGAACATTGCATGTTTTAAATAGCGGTAGTTGGGAATAGTATGGTTTTGAGTACAGAAATACCAACACATACCCAAGTAGGACACCGAGAAGCCATGCAGCGCAAAGAGGGTATCAACCCCGATAAGCTTAGTGCGGCACTTAGAAGGCTTCGCGGAAATGTGTGGCGGCACATACAACACAGCCAATGTATTGCAAACGCTTACGCACTAAATATACTTAAGCTGCTTGTACATGCTAGATGTTTGTAGTAATCGTAGTTAAGAAAGCAGAATAGGGGCTTCACGCTATTGAGGCGTTTCAAGCAGAGAAACAAGCAAGCAACCAACCAAACAAAGCGGTTGTAAATACAGAGCAACAACAGAGGAACAGAACGAGTACATATACCGATAGTTGAATGAAGGTACTGGAAGGCAGGCAGCATTAGGAAGTGTAAGCAAAGGTAAAAAGTAATGACGAAATCCTCAAAGGGGAGATAAGGAACAAGCTCGCATGCTAGCTTTTATTTGCACTTATACACGCTTATCTGTGTGTCGGTGTGTGTGTTCATATTGATTTGTGATGTTCTTGCACACACACGCAAGCAAACTTGAAATAGCAAGTAACTCCAGCAGCCATTGCACCGAGTAAGTAATTTCAATAGATCGAACAGATCGGTCACCATTTACCATTCAGTTACACTACATATACATATATGTATATGTACGAGTGTTACAAGGAGGTACGTGACTTTTTGCGGTTTGTGCGGATTTTTCGTGTGAATGAATCAAAATAAGGCACTTAGACAAGCTGTTAAAAGCAAAAGGGACGAGTTGACTGCCGGGTGGCGAATGGAGGGTGAGGAGTCCACTCACACAAACACACACACACACACGCACAATCGCCTTGAAGGAGCTATGGCATCAATGAAATTGACAAAAAAATATAGTAAAATAAATGGCATTGAACAAAATCGCAATTGTGGCACGTTTTACAAGTTGAAGCTGAGGCTTGTGCGGGGGCAAGCAAGCAAGCAGGGAGGGTTAAGCGAGCTGCTGTAGTGCAAAAGCTGGTTTAGAGCGGAGGGAGGATGTTTGTAAATAAATGGCAGCAATGATGATGACCTTGAATGGGCAGCAGAGTTACTGTGGATTTTTTATTTTTTGTTATTTTTTTGAATGTTGCTTCACTTTGATTTGTTTGTGTACCTACTCAACTTTCAAGTTTTTGCACATGTTTGTCAACAAAGGAGTGTGTGATAGCTGAGAAAGGTGTTGTAGCAAAATGGAATGAAATGAAAGATAAAGAGCCATGAAAAGTTGCTCGCAAACATAAGAATTTAAATAAGAAATTCTAGATAATCTAACGCTAAATAGCCTAAGTAGTCATTCAAACGCATTGAGTTGTGTACTACTATGCGAAATGATTTTATAAATAGCAAAAAAAAAACCTTCTCATCGAACTATGAAACAGATTCCTGAGCACTCTGTCTGCACTTACGTGGAGTTAAGATATCGCAGTGGCGGTAAGGTATCTCTGACCTGAGTCAGCAGTCAGTTCGTCACCACCAGGATTGTTATGTCAAGCTGATGAGATGTCTGCTCTTCAACGGCATCTCGATAGACGGCTGAGCTTTTTTGCTTGGTATACGAGCATATGAAGGAATGAAGCCATTCGTGTTACTTATGCCGGATGAGATTAGGATTGCCGTAGACGGAAACCCGAAATCGAATCTCCAAGTACTCAGTTTTAGTTGCTCATTGGGTTCGAGGCTTAGCGAAGGAATAAAATAATAGTTCATTAGTCCGAGTAACCTTTATAAGGGTAAGAGGATGTTACTGGTCTTTTTTCAATGCACCGAACAAATACAGAAAAAGTGCTCTATACCTTACTCGTTCATTAGTCAGGATATGCACATTTCATTAACGAATGCTTTAGGTGAGGACCGTGCTTCCTAATCACTTTTACTAGGACTCACAACTCTCCCTTTTCCGCTTGATTATAAATCTTGAATGCGTTGCATATATATTTGTCACTAAGTGAAATGGTTGTCATAAGTTCCATGTGTAAGATCTTTGAGCTACCATACGATTGCAACAGTGTTTAGCCTGAACTTACATTCCTAGGCAATTCTTGAAAAGTTACAGGCGGTCGCCAATGTGCCTAGTCTCACTTGCCGGTAACTAAAGGCTTTGATTCGGAGTTTGCCTAACTTTTCTCCAATTACTTAGACCACTTATTCAGGCCATAGCAATGATCACAGACAAAAAAGTAGTGGTCAGCGTGCCTTACGGTACGGAAGCGGGGCCGAGCCGAGAGAAGCGGTACCAACCAGGCTTTCAAATTAATATAGCTATATGAAAGTGTGGAGCTGGTAGCAATTTTTTGATTTTTGAGTTTCATGAGGTTTGCATAAAATTTAGAAATTTTATATCTATGTTTTTTTTTTATAGTACGCATCATATGTTTAGAAAAAAGTACAATAAAAATTGTTGAATTTACATAGTTTAGCCGTGAGTGTGCATAAAATATTTTTAGTTAAAATTATAATATTTTCCAACCAACGAAGGCTAAACTCATTAATTTTTCATTATTGAAAAAGTGTATCTATACAAACACTAAAGAAAATAATTATTTCTAAAACTAGCGCATATTTTTATGACAAAGCGTCTACGGCACAGCGCGCCAAAATGACAAATCTACAGCTGTCATATGCCTTAAAATGTGGAAGTAAAAATTGCCAAATAATTAAAATTTAAAATAGCGACTGGCCGAAAAGGCAGCTGCAAGTCATCAGTGTGGACCCTTACCACCACCACCACCAACACCGCTGCACAACGACGGGCATGATGTATAAACAACCTAATGCCGACAGTCATACATTTAATGCCAGTGTTCAAGCGATAGGCTAGGTAATGGGCAGTCGAGTCGGTGTGACAGCGCACGTTAGCGACGGCAATGGACAGATGAATGACGTGAAATACGAAATTGAGTGCTGGCGCGGCCACAGGGGCAACGGAAATGCTGTGACGGTGAAGACGAAGTATGAAGGTACATAGTAGTTGTTTTTGTTTTTGTGTGAAAGCTTTTACGTCAATATTTTTCTAAAATATGATTGTGTGTATGTGTTCAAACCCAAAAAGTGCTAAAGATAGTCTTTATTTGTACTTAATGTGCCACAAATGTGTTTGTCTCTTTTAATTGCGAAAATATAGGAAAATATGAAAATTAATGTCACTCAGTCTGATTTCATGCCCAGCAAAGGCTATGGAGCGACAAACAACCAAATTCGTATACAATTTTTGTAGCGCGCCAAAATTTTTTGCTGAAAGATTAAATGCAACGAAAATAATTGAGTCTCGACAGTAAATTTTTGAAAAATGTGTTGACCAAAAAAAATACGGACGCGCCAAAGGCGCTAAATGTAAACCACCACATAACGGCAGTTAGCGCGGTGATGTTGCAAAATATTTGCATTGGCAACGTCAATTTCGAAAAATTGCATAGACTTATTGCAAAAATATTTATTTATACATATATTGCAGTTGACGTCATGCTCGTCTTGCACGCCACATTGGTTGGCTGGTTGGTTGCGCTGCATTAATAGCGAAAATTACAAAAATAAATTTGCAACAAAGTAAGAAAAAAATATATGTATGCGCATACCAAATGCATAAGAAAGATGTAAGTAAGCGGAATTAAAGAAAATAATACATACACTGCCGGCAAAAAGCATTGGCACACCAAATTTTTCCCAATACATACATATATGCAAAAAATTTTTCTCTAATATTTTTCCGCCAATTTTTCATAAAAATATGGTTCATTCTGCAACAAAAAACATTAAAATATCATTCCTAAACTTCAGCAATTCAGCAAATTTTCTTGCAAATTTTCAACTTTTTAGTCCGAATTTTTTTTTGAGTATGCAGGTTTGTAGCTCAATAAATTTAATTACAATAATGTACAACTTTTAAGTAGCTAGGAATGACCGTTGATTTTTGTCAACAATTTTTCACGCGTCTCTTCCATAAAAAAAAATCGAAAATACTTTATATGGAACAAATGCAAAACACCTTCAAGAAAAAAATTCTCAAAAATCACTGCGATTTTTAGACTAACTCCGAACTTGCAGTTTTTTTTTTGCTAGAATTTAGTGGACTGCAAAACTGGATACTCGAAAAAATTCTAAAACTTTTGAATAAAAAGTTGAAAAATTACATTAAAATTTGCTGATTTTTTGGGAGTTTTGCAAAGTGTAGGAAATATATTTTTATGTTTTTTGTTGTAGAGGAAACTATATTTTTATAAAAATTGGCGAAAAAATATTAGAAAAAAAAATTTATGCATATATTGTGAAAAATTTTTTGTGCCAATACTTTTTGCCGGCAGTGTATAACTTATTCAATTTTTTTCTTTTAATTTCAGCGAAAATTTGAAGCCGCAACCAAAACTTTCATTGCAATTGTGGCGCGCCGCCTGTCAACGTCATTCATTAAAGGCAAACCGAGCCGGAGCAGAAGATGGAAACAATGGGAGTGCAGAGCAACGAACATCTTCAAGGGGCAATCGAGTTGCAATGGCTGCGAAGACATCAGCAAGTGAGCAGATGCGCTGCACTTTTAAAGATCTACGCAATGCATAGACTAAGCGAGCGAACGAGAAGAAAATCGACTGAAAATTCTGGCTAAAAATACATCAGCGCGCGCACTGACAAAGGTACGTTAAATAAAAATAAATGAAGTAAAGAAAAAAAACAACGTTCGACTAGGCAAGGCGACAGCTAAAGGGTGCAGCGATTGAAAGAAAAGCGATTGTAGAATATTCTCGTGTACTCATGCCAGTCTCTGCTCCGCATTAAATACCACACCTTTTTGTCTCTACCCCCCATCAGCGCTAAGCATAGCACTTTTTACTGAGAAGGCGCGGATATTTGCGAAAAAATGCAAGCAAATCGATACTCGTGTTGCTTGCCGCATATAAAAGTATGTATGTGCTACAAATCAGAGGCTAAAGCTCATGACATTGCGTCAATTTGGTATTTGTGGGTCGAAGGCATAGAATGTACCGCTGACAAGTTGATGTTTTGAAATTGGCATGTGCTCAAGAAAGTGTAGGATGCACTGTGAGAAAAATAATTAGTTCGAAGTGAATAATTATAATTAAAAAGTATAGCGAGCCTCGAGTGAGCTAGAGGGTGCGAGCTTTAGTGGCGTTCTAATACGAAACCATTAGACTTTATACATGCGCGCCTTTTTTAAAATACGGCTTCAACAAAACAATATTGTGCTGACCAAGCACTTGGGTTCACGCATCTTAAACAGTTTGGGCGATGTAGAGGAGGTGAAACTATTGGATATCCTCGGCTTCATCAGGGATAGTAATTGTTTCAGTAGAATAATGACTTAAGCTACTCTTTCTATTAAAGGTACGTGTCTCCACCTGACACTCACTAAAAAAGGGCACTCACAATGGACAATTCTGTCTACGAGTGAAAGTATAGCATATTCCACACACGCCTTCCTAACCTAGGTCCCTGTTTAGGCCGTTTAGTTTATTAAGTTATATAAGTCGTCAATCAAGTCTAATGGTAGGAACCGATATAAGTATCTCGAAGAGTTCGGGCCGAAGGAAGTGAAGTATTACATCATTTGTTTGAGTGGGTTTATAAAAAGGGGCATCGGTGTTGATTCAGAATAATTAGGAATTAAACTACATAATCGAGAGAGGAGTTGAGTTGGAGCACTGTCGGTCTTGCAGGGCCCTTTGTCGGTGATAGGCGGTGCCTGGTCTCATCGAACAAAATCCTCGATCCGGACCGAAACTGAAAGCACTAAGCTCCGAAAGAGGCAAAGCGGATAGCTTCATTGAGCCTTTGGGAAGGTATTAAAATCTGCACTGAGTCTGACAGGAACACAAATTTTTGATCTTACAGCTAGGTTAAATATTCGGTTACCTTTATGTACTACATATCGCTTCTGGGCAACCACCGATTCGGTAGCACTAATACTATGTCAATTTGACCGCTACGCGCATTTGTTTGGCTACTGTGAAAACAAAAAGTAAAAGGCATAAAATCTAACACTTGCCACCCGTGGGCGTTGTTGCGATTTTCAATTAACGAAATTAAATTAAACGCAAAAAAAAGAGCGAAACCAGAGTAAAAGTAATAAACGAAGGCAACACGCAATGCGAAATGCCAATGAAAACGTAAAAGCTTTTTGCAATAATTCGCAATAGAAAAGGCAATGGTCAGTCAAGCAGAGGATGGCGGGGAGATTGCTGGATGAAAGGCAAACGAAAAAAGGTCAAAATTGTTATAAGCATGCATACATATGTGGAACGCACATATGAGTGGTAGAAAAGGCAATAGCACCAATACAAATAACAACAAATGCAATAGTAATAATAACGAAACAAATAAAATCCCAACTAACAACTTTCCGCTTAAATATATTTGTGCAACACTTTAGCGGATTAGCTGAAGAGTACACTATGTCCATTAGGGCGGGCCAATTATGATTTTTTTTTGATTATGCGCGTATAGCATAGATTTTAAGCAAATTTGCTGAAGAAACCATGGGTCTAACATCAATTCGGAGTTTGCCAAATTTCGAAAATGGGTTTCGAAGGAAATGTGAAAATTATAATTATGGAAGTTTTAAGAAAAAGATGCAGAAATGGCATGCTTGAACCAAAAAAACCCTTATAGCATATTTTTATACAAAATTTAGGCACTTCTTTACGACACTAGAGCAAAATACTAAGAAACATATTTTCGCAAGTTGCCAATTTTTAATTGATTTTAAGCCCATGGTTTATTCAGCGAATTTACTTACACGTAGAATACTTCTGTGATATACGCGCATATTTGAAAAAATTTCCCATACAAATTGATCCCCCCTAATGTACATATATGTATGTAAGTATACATATATTAAAACTTACAAATACGAGCACATACTATTTGTTATTTATATTTCATTTAGACGTGTATACTATACATACATATGTTTGTTTATTTGTTAGTATGTATATACGTATGTATGTACTTGTGTATGCAAGTATTTGGTGGGTGGGCTGCTGAGCTCACCAAAAAAATTTTATGGCGCATTAATTTAGCGCACAACACAGCCAAAGCAATACAATAATACTCCCTTAGTTGTAAATATCTACGAATCAACATTAATCGCTGGAACTTAGCCAACAACAAATAATCATAAAAACAGCAACAATTTGCAAAATTAAAAGACGCACTGAAATCATCAAAAAGTGTGGATGTTTGTAGGTAGGAGGGATAGCGCTGATATAGGTTTATGTTTGGAGGTACATATGTATATGGTATACATATATGTGTGTATGTACATACGTGAACGAAAGAAAGGGACGTAATTAAATTTAGGGCATAAATGTGCCCTGTTTTGGATCACATTAGCAGATGATTAAAGACTCAACAGAGATGAACTCATGAATCCGTTGTGTGGATACAGAACTTAAATTATGTTTGAATCATATTTTGGTTTGGATTACATATTTATTAGCATTGGTAAGGAAAAAATTTCAGAATTCGAAATTTGATTTGGGGGAAAAAAAATCGAGCCAAAAGACGGGTGGTCGATATACGAAAATCTGGTCATTACTAAAATGCTTTTTAAATTAGTTTTAGGTGGCTACCCTTAATTTTTTTTTCTGCACAGAAAAGGTTCTCAAACAGTTTTAAATTTATTTATGTAAAAAATTTGTTTGCTTTTATTTCAATGGCATGAATTTTAAAATAAAGTATACCGCCTTTTAAAATATGTATTTCGTACTTGTAAATTCCCAAAAAAATGTTTGATGTGTTAAGTACATATGCCGATGGCAACCATATTTCAAAAGTGTGCTACGTATCGTTACCTTAATATAGAAAGGCCCTAACTCATATAGTCGCTGAAATGCAAAAAAGCCGTACCTGACTAAAATTTTTTATTGCTTAAAATGATGTGGGGACTTATATATCGATGAAATGCACCATAATCAATCAAAAGGGAACGAATATTTACTTAGTTACTGCCTTTTGTATTTCAGCGACTATATGAGTTAGGGCCTTTCTATATTAAGGTAACGATATGTAGCTTGCTCTGAATTTTAATATAGTTTAGTTGTCATAGAGCACACAGCTCTATTTAACAATATATAAATTTTGAAAATAATTCATTCATTCATAATTTTTGTATGAAAATGAGTTATCTATAAAGAGGCAATACTATTTAAAGTTTGTGCTAAATTATTTATTTAAAATTTTCGCCGAATTTCGTTTTGAGATCAATTATTTTAATTTTTGTAAGCAGTTGCGTGGAAGTGTGAAATTTTTAATATTTTATTCGGCAATCCTGTTGTAAACATGTTTTAAAATCAAAAGGCTTTTCGACTGCAAGTTTTTTTATGAAACTAGATAACTAACAGTTGGCAACTCTATTAAAAATTCATTGTTAACAAAACGAGTCCAAATTGCCTTAAAAACGAATAGATCGGGCTTTAAATTTTTTAAGCAGCCGGACGCAATATAAATTTTTTAAATGACAACTCTTTTATAAAAAATTTCAACATCAAAATGCTCTCTTAAAAACTTCTTGCTTATTAGCGTTGACTTAATATAAATTTGAAAAAAAATTTTTTTTTTGCTAGAATGTTTTAATTTCTAAGGCGACAGCTAATTCTACATACATTTCATTACAGTTTTTACATTTCATTTAAGTTTTTCAACATTCATAGTAGTTTAATACAAATTTTCAGATAGGTGGCAACCTTACAATACAAAATATTTCCCAGGCTCATATCGATCGAATGCAGCATTTTTGTTCTTAGAATATTTATCTGTGTCCTCTTCAAACAAACTATATATGATTGAATTAAAAAGAAAGTAGAGCCTTTTGCAAGAGTCTCTAATGGCCAAGTTTTTCCTGGACTAAGGACTCAAAAATAAATGCTTCAAACTCAAGTCAGGTCCTAGCAAGTAGGATCACAAGCTCTTCAAAACCATAAATCGTCGCAGAACAAGAAAAACTTGACCGAACCCAATTAATAAGAGTCTTCGATAAAGTAATCTGACAATAGACCATGTAGAAAAACCTATTCAGCCAACTCAAGAGCTCTTAAATATACTTTCAAGCTTCCTACACGCTGGCCTTTAACCTCTAAGATTGCAAAAACCACCTCACCACTCCCAAGCTTCCACTCACCAGTGCCAAATTTAAATGTGCGTGTTAGATGGCAACGTTTCAAGGCGAAAGTGATTTTTGGCGGCGTCTGCGAGACGCCATCAACAACAAAATGTACATTAAATAAAACAAACCAACAAACTCAAACCAGAATTTCGTAAGAATTTGCGACGACGAGAATAAAATAAATCCAAAATGAGCGTAGCCAGGCTGTCATCAAAAATACGACGGCAAAGACAGACGAAATTGCCATTTGCGACAAATGACAAACAGAAAATTTACTCGAAATGTGAGTAACTGCGTAGGGCGCGGAGATGAGGGTATTGGCTTGCTTTTAATTGCGCGAAACATGAATTGGGATGGGTGGTTAAAAGGAAGTTGTTTTTTTTTTTGTAGATAAAATCGCACTTGTTCGCCTTTCTGGCGGAGATTGATAGAATTTAGCGCAGAGCGATCGGATTTTCAGGAAGATTAGTGTTTGGAAAAACCAAAAGGAAGAAAGAGAAATCACAAAGTTGTCCGCTTCATAACTTTTATTTTGCTTTCAATCTGATTTTTGTTAATTTTATTGGAATTTTCCTAAGTTTTCTTTTTACTTGTGCGCCTTCTAATCCCAAATACAAACACTCTGCTTTTGCTGCCTGACTTGGCGTGTTTAGACATAATTTCGGTGAAAAAAAAAAACAAATAGAGCCGGTGAGTGCACTTTTTCCTAGAACACACGCCCAGCTCTAAATACCGTCGGTATCCTCGAATACCAGCAGACCCTTGCCAATTGCTTATTCACACACATCCCTTGCTGTTGCTTACTTATTCGATGTGCTCATACGCTCTCTCTCTCTCTCTCTCTCTCTCTTACTCAGACACTCGTTGCATTGCGTGCTACAAAAAATTAAAACTTTATGGCGCCATTAAACGTCGCACTCAGTCTTTGTGGCGGCGACAGCGCTGCTGTAATAATTACAGATGTTTTTCGATGACGGCTCTGCTTTATTGTAGATTTTATTTTAATGGGTTAGTGAAGGTTTTCGTAGCAATGTAGTGGGTGTCCGGCTTCCGTCAGTATATATAGTTCAGCACTACAATTAAAGCAATTATGTGTATTTTTTATTTTATTTTTGGAATACCAGCATAATTACTATAATTGTTTATTTATTTTGCAGGTTTGGAGCAGAAGAGGAAATATTTGGCCATTAAGTGTGACGAAGGTAAGAAGGTGTGACAGTGACAAAAAAAAAAATTAAAGAAATAAAAAGAAAAAATCTGTTAAGGCCGCCAAAGCCGAATGGTATAAGGTGTGTATTTTCATTCGATACAATCAATGTTGTATCTTCGATATGCAGAACATAAAAAATGTTGGCAGTGTTTCTCTGCATAAAAGGGAAAACATCCGAGTAAACTTCTGCTACGAAAAAACTTCTCATAAAAAACCTACTGCCGTTCTGAATCGACGTGGAACTGTTGATTCCTCCAACACTTTTGCTATTAATACTGACGAAATTCCATAAGGAAGCGCTAACCATGACTTATTTAGTAAGTAAACTTAAGTTTTACAGCTGGATTTGTCAACTAGGGTATGGGTTCGTTCAAACTAAATTTGACAAGAGATTATGGAAAATCGTTCTATAATGCAACATATTCCTAGCCCGCCGGAAAAATCAACAACCAAAAAGAAAATATTGGGTTATGCCTTCAGGCATGTATTGGTCCTTTAGCTTTGATTATTCTGTCTGCAAAAGTCATTAGGTAAGGGTTCTTAAACCGTTAGAGCGGATGGATGTTTATCTCTAACCGGAACTTGGTCGTATGCATGGTATATTTTAGGCTAGATGGAATAGGTTAGTCGAGACTTATGTATGTGATTACCCGAAAGCAATTTTAGTCCATCAAAGGAAGATGAGTGTTTCCTGAGACAAGTTTTATATGAATCTGGAACTAAAAAGTCTTCACAAAAAAAACATATAGCCTAACTCGCATTTTTATGTGAGTGAAGATGTTCTGTTGCTTGAAATGCTCACCTGAGAACTGGCGTTTTTTTTAGCGTTTTGGTGGGCAAATTACTTGTAAACTCTTGCTTCGTCTCCAGATCAGTGATAGGTCTGAGTATATTTTGTATGCAACTATGGATTGGAGTAGAATGAGCTTGCTGTCAGAGCCAAGCCGGTAAGCTATCTTTGAGAATCCAAATGATAATGGCGTAGTATGTGTTGCTCAAGGGTATGGAAATACAAAAGTAATATACTTTGGATAGAGGTTCGGTTATCCTTTTTTCCAAATTAGTTTGGAAATATGTCGTTCCAGAAGACAAAACTTTTAGAAGTTTAAGCCAACACTTAGAGTGCGTTTCCATCGTATATATGTTGGTTATTATAAGCTCTGGGATTTTATCCACCAGTTCTCAGGTCACGTTTTTCTTTGACGTAACCGATAAGATTTCTTAAAGCCTGAATATGACAGCTTAACTTAAATTAACGGAACTTAGAGCTTAGAAAATCAAAATGAAACAGATTTCGGCGTGACATTAAGTTGCGTTAGGTTTCGGCTGTTCAATTGTAAGCAACATCTATTTAAGAAAATTTTTCTAAATTAGCATGAAGCAGAGCGATATGCATACTTCTGAAGGATGTTCAAAAACAAAGAGAGTTCTGTCTATGGGCTGAGGAGAAACGTTTAACCCAGGCCGGAAGGGAAGTCTGCATTTCGATCTTAATAAAAATGTTTAGAGATCGTTCAAAGCATTCACAGTTTTCCATGTCCATTTACAGTTTCGAGTGTTTTCATTGCTCCCAGAATAATGAACTTATTTTCTTACGTGTATTTCCGATAGGAAAACTAAATCTCTGAGGTAGATATATAGCGTTGAAATAAGCCAGTAAGTAAACCACGACAAAGTAAACTTCTTAACTTTCTCAAAATTTTTTTTTTTATGGCATTAATGGCATTCATAACAATAATGATGTCCTTCAATGATCCTTTTAAAAACCTACAACATTTTACGTGCTGCTATGTCATAAAGCATCGCACACTACCTGCATACTTATTAACTTTTAAAGGCTATGAAGACTAAAATGAAATAAGGTAAAATGGTCGCATAAAAAAACTAACATGTACCGTAACCGCAATTGTCATTAAATCCTAGTAGATGGCGCATAACACTTTGACGCCATTTTTATGCCATGACTTTTATGAACTTACCCCAAAGGTAAGCAGGTACGTGCATGCACCTTAATACACCATATTTTATTAGCTGCTATTAAAATCATAAAATTTCAAATGGTAGTCAATCAATTTTCAATTACTTTCACATTTTTGCCGCAACATATTTAGGGGGTTTAATGCCGGTCTGTATTAATATGTGTGCGATTATATGGGTGTACATGTGGTAGTAGAAATGTTCATAAAACGTACACCTCATCATTCGATTAAGTCGCGAACGACCATTACGCTTGAAGAAACATTGTGCTGTATTGCATGGGGCAACTTTATATTTGCGGAATAGAGCCTTCAAGCTCACTCCCACTCACACTGGCAATTGCACTCACTCACTTTTCCCCCTTAAATTGCGCGCGTCACGCAATGCATTTATAGCTACAGAGCTATGCTCGTATGTACTACTTTCTCATAAAAAATTACCCTTTTATTTTAGTGTTATTTTTTTTACATTAAAACAGGGAATGTTTTTACCTTTTAAATGTTTATAAATAATTGAGCGCTAGCAAAGTTGTATTTCGCAAAGCACTCGCGCTGCACTCACACTCACATCCAACACTACGTTGTTCATTCACTACATAGAGCAAAAAATGAGTGGAGGCACTCCTTGGTAAGGATGGGTAAGAAAACCGACGAAGTAAAGTTGGTATTCTTCATACACTCGCTTTGTTGTACTTATGTTGTAGATATTTTTTTATGTACTCTCCTCTTTCAACTGAAAGCCATTGCAAGCAATAATGATCAAGGAAATGAATAGTTGTATATTTAGTAGTATGAGTTTGAGTGTGTGAGCGAAATGACTTGAGTACTTCAGCAATAAATTTCCCAATGGAAATCAACATAATATAATTTATTTGCTTGCTTACTTGTACTTTGCACTGGCACTCGTTCATTCGGACTAAGTTAGAGCTTTGGCCGGGGTGAGAGAGAGGAGACACGGGCGCAGTGCAATAAAAGCTAAGTATTAGCTAAGAAAAAAAAAACGATTTGCAAACGAATTACTAACTACTACACTATAACGAGGGAAGAATGCGTACGCAAATATTGAGAGCACACATACTTGTCTATATACTTATATTATAAGTCTTATAAAAACAATATAGGTACATATTCGCATACCAATCCATACATACATATGAATGTGCAAAAATCGTAAAGCTTTCCTACTAAATGCCCATAAGCTTGACAAGCAAGCAAGTTTGTATTGTTTGCCAGCAGAGTCTCGACAGTAGGTTAAGGGTTAAATGCTCGCTTATATGTATGTGCATGTGCGCGTAGTGCTATAAAAAGAAAATTGCTATCAGTATAGTCTTAAGTTTAGTTGTAGTTGTGCTATAAATTTTACTAACATTGTTTTCTTTCTTTTTTTTTAGAAAATACACTGCTGCCAGCGGACATGGCAGGAGGCAGTTCCCTAAGCGGCTACGTTGATAGACAACTTACATATGAAGTGCATTTGCATTAAGTCGGCTAAAAAGGGATAAAAGTCGGTGGAGAGAGCGGCGAGGTGCAAAAAGAGGAAACTATTTGTTGTGTGGAATAGACAGGGCGCGCTAGTGGAGGCACTATAGCCAAGTAACTAATTGTTGCGAATCGATAAAAGTGATTGCAAGCAGAGTTAAAATTTTGCAATGCTCTTTGGCTGCGGTTTAATTTAAAGCCTTTTACTGTTTGTATGTTTGTTTTAACTAATTGAGAATTGAGAAAATGAAATAAATTTATACTAAGTGAAATTTAATATTTTATTTTATATGTTATTCATTAGAAAACTTTATTAGCTAATTAAGCTGATAATCAGTAAATTTATTTGAAACTCGGCAACAGCGCTTTTTAACAAATCTAAGTATTTCTCTAGAGAGAAAGAAATTTAACTACATCAATGATCAGTTTAAGTGACCTTGCGCCAAAAACCAAGTATCAGTATAACTTCGAATTATTTAAGTGAAAATTGGCAACACTGCTTTGACTGAAATAAGCAGTACAGCAATACCACCGGTATCTGTTAGTTTTTTTCAATTAATCACATTAAAAAAATGATGTGTTATTTATATCAACATTAATTTGAAATAATTTTAGTGAAAAGTGGCAACATCGGATTTAATCAAAGTTGTACTTATTTTCATCAAAAAGAGAAGTAGGCTGGCTATATATATTTTTTACCAACTATAAATAAAATAAAAAATAAAAAAATTATTGAAAATTATATCTATCAAATTAAACTAATAAAAACATATGGTGAAAATTGTCAACAAAGCATTTAATTTCTTTTCAGTTTACTTACAAATATTTTAAGTCAAAATTGGCTAAAAGCATCTAATAAGTTTGTTACGTACTTATGTGTACAAACTGACACCCAAATTCATAAAAAATAAAGAAGACTTTTACTGCTTTATAAATCGAAAATTTGTATGAAAATGTCACTTTATAGAGCTCTTTAAATCCACTTTATTTTTTATGAATTAGACCAAAAAACTATAAAAAAGAAGGTGAAAATTTACAACATATAATTTTATTTATTTATTTTTTGTTAAAAATCGTTTTACCGTATTACGACTGCGTATTAAAATTATGTGCTATGAAACAAAGCCAAAAAATCGTTAACAATTCGTATTCATATTTGACAAAAAGTTAGACAATATCACTGACACCCACACTAAATTTGCCTAACAAACTGAATTTGAAACATCACATCTTAATCCATTTTACTTCAACGAACTGAAGTGAAAATTGGCAACAATGTTATATAATTAGTTTTTACATATTCTTGCAAAAAAGGATTTAAATTATACCCGTATCGAAGATGGTTAATTATTTATCGCATTACTGGTGCTAAATTATGGCTTCGATATCAATCGAATTTACCTCTAAAGAATATAAGTGAAAATTGGCAACATAGAATTTTAAGTTTTTTTTTGCTACACATGTGTGCAATATATGGCAAAGAAAGTGCAATCTAAATTAAAAAAAGTAAAATAAATATAAGTGAAAAATGGCAACATTTAATTCAGAAAAAATGTACTTCAACATTGTAGTTCAGCATAATTATATCTTCAATTAATCAGCTGGCTGTACTTTAAATTGGGTACCTAATAATGTATTGGGTATGAACACAGTATAAATCTATGGCTTACAAAAGTGTTGAAGTAATTAAAATGAGGTATACTTCCCCTTCCGAGAGGCTATGATTGACTTAGAACTAAAGCAGATTAAATATTTGCTGCGAAATTGCAAAATTTTGAAAAAGAACAGGAAACTGTTCTTCGGAGGTAACTGAAAGAATTTAAAAGTTTCAGCAGACTCTCAAAATTAAAAAAAAATATATATGTATATGAAAAGTGATTGTGCATTTCTTAGGGCAATTTGATGGAGTCCTTTGTAACTTTCATTTACTTCAAACTCTCTGCGGTAGACGCTGAGATATGGATAGAAATTTGGCAACACCGCAATTAATAAAGATTTTTCTGTGGACCTTTATTGTAGCATCGAAATCTTAAAAAAATATTTCGTGTGTTTATATAAGAAAGAAAATAATAATTAAGATAAGAAGCCATGTCTTCGCTGTTAATAATTTTTTGAAATGGTTTTGGCAATATATGTATACGTCAGAAATGAAATTTGGCAGCGTCGCATTTTTTAAAGATTAAAAACAAAGTATTTTCTTGGTCTTATTATTTCTCATTTTTTGAATTTTTAAAAGAAGACATTTTAGTTAAACAGTGAAAATTGGCAATGTTGGTTTCCTTCAGTTACATAAGAAAGATGATATAAATTTTGATGAGATGCCATTGTCTTCGCTGTTTATGATTATTAGAGAATATTTTTGCAATAAATAAAGTATTTTTTAGGCCTAAATATTTCTCATTTGCTGATTTTTTTTAAAGAAAATATTTTAGTCAAACTGTGAAAATTGGCAACATTGTTTTTTTTCAGTTAGGTACTCATAAAATATTTCAAGCTTCCTAAAGCTTCGCCGAAAAACTGTAAACTATCGTTTTTATATAAACAAACATTTATGCATCGTTGACTTTGTCTAGTAATTAAGTGAAAATTGGCAACAACGCGCTACATAAATTATAAACATACCGTCTATTGTGAAACATTTAAAATTTGGATGAGCAAACAGAGGAAGGTAAACTGTATTTTTTTGAGTAATAAGCAAAGGAGTAATTTATTTTTTACCTAAGTGAAACTTGGCAACATTTCTTCCTTTACTTTATGTATCAATTTAGGTGAAAAATTTTCGAAGTAAAGCAAAGTACATATCCTTCGATATCTGAGCCATTCTTTATGAAAATAAATTTCTTAAAAAAAAAAATCCAATTTACATTGCACATCTCTAGCAATTTATAAGCATTAAATATGAAAACAGTTCCCTGCCGTAAACAAGTCCACTACACTAAACCGTAAATATGCCACTTGCCATGCCGTGCCGGAAACCCTTTACGACTGCATTGGCACAAATCAACTCTGTTGAATTTCAACGAAAAACAACTAACTAGCAGTGAGCAAATTGCAAAGCAGTGAAAAGGAATAAAACAAAAAATATATAAATAAGCAAAAAGACCCAATTTTTTTCGTTGCTATTTTCTACTTCACTTCCTCGTATTTGCTCATTGCAATAATAACAAAATATGGCGCCATTTGTATATCTTCCGTTTCCGTTACAATTCCAATTTTAGTAAAAACTTTGGCGGTGCAGTGCCGGCATATAATACGTACATACGTACATACATAGATGCACTCTACAAAAAAAAGAAAAAAATAATAATGTAGGAAAAAAGAAAAATAGCACACGTGGCTATACAAATATATTCAGAGGTGCATATGCATGCAAAAAATGGGAGGTACCACACATACAAGTATGTCTATGTACAAACCTCCATAGAAATGGGTTCATTCAAGAGCTGACTGACTGACGCCAACGAAGGACGCCGCTCTGTCGTGTAGTATAAACTTTAAAGGGATTGGCATAAAAGTATGTGAATGTACGTACGTTCGTACATATTAATATTTGCATAGCATAGTAAGTGAATACCACACACACAAGCCCACATTTCATATGTACTTTTCGACATTGCATTTTTTTTTTTTAATTTTTTTGCCATCGTCGTTTTGGCACTTAGAGTATGACAATAATTGCGGCGGCAACCCTCTTACTCACATCGCGTGAAAGTGTGCAACATTGCTGCTACCCACGTTGCCACAACTTACAAGCAACACCACCGACTACTATATATGTATAATACTGGGTACTACTACGTACTTTTTTTCTTTATTGTCGGTGTTGCTGTTGTGGCGCCTCAGCGCTTTTTGCCTTAACCAAAAAGCTCAACTGCGGCGTCATGGCTTGCCAGTTGGTTGGCGTGCTGCTATTTTTTTTTCTACTACATATGTATGTATGTAATTCCGTGTGTTGGTGTGTGCATGTGATTTTTTTCGTTGTCCTGACCGAGCCATCTTTTCGGTGTCTGTCGCGAAAATGTTGGTTTAACATGCAAGCCGATTTTTTTTTTGGATTTTTTCTTGGTACGTTCACCCTACTACAAAGTAATACTTTTTTGTGACCCAAAAAAATACTAACTGCTATTTTCTCGTAAAAAAGCGGCAAATGGTACACCTGTGCGTATACGTAAGACATTCGTTTCCTAGTCGCTCGTTTAGCATCAATCGCCTATTCTTCATGTCTATCAATGTCATTATAATCAACACCAACAGCTTTATGTATGTACGTCCTAGAACGACACCCTCTTCCGAAGTTTAAAGCCGCTTCAATTCTGTCTTGCGTTCGGTTTGTTACTTTTGTTATATGCTATCAACAATACGTTTGATGTCTTGCCATAAAACGTATTGCCTAGTATAAAATTTTCTAATGAATGTTTATTTTTCTTTGCCTCTCACTTTCTTTAAACATTCCACTTTTTTATTTCTTATCGTTCGCGCTTATCATTTTATGTCGTTGTTGCTAAAATACACTGCCTGACAATTTTTTAGCTCTTTTTTGCGGAAAAAGTGAAATATTTTTGCTATTTTTTATGGCCGCATCATAAATATTTTATGGTAACTGTAACATTGCGCACTTTCTAAGCTCTCTACAAACATGATATCATAAGTATTTTTAAAATTTTTTACTTAACTTCAAGCATTCAAGGGAAAATTTTTATCAAGGGGTAGCAATTTGTTGGTCAATCTCTTAAAATTTGCTAAAGTGGAAAATTGGCAACAGTGGTTGAGCTTTAGTTGCCACTAAAAAAAGTTTTTTTTTATAGTTGCCAACAAAATGGAAATTACGCTTAAAGGATTTATTGCAATAGAGCACATTTCATTGAAGTTATAGTAAAAGGCTGAAAATTGGCAATATAGCGTTGCTTTTTAGCCCCAAAAACTTACTGTTATACACAATCAAGAGGCTTGTGGCATATGTATGCATTAGGGCTGTGCGATTATTCGATTACTCGAGCAAGTTGGTTAATCAATTATTCGGTTAATCAATTACTCGAGTGATCAAGATTTTGATTACTCAAAACGATGATTAGTCGAGTTACTTGAAATATGATTACTCAAAAAATAATAATTTTGCTCGTTAGAAGAGTTTGCTTTGGAAAATGCTTATTTTCTTTTTTACATTCTGTATATAAAAAAAAATTTTTGTTTTAATTTTTGAAAACTGAAACGTTGTTTTCAAAGTATCAAGGAACTTTTACTACTTTATACACATGTAAAGA